CAGGATGTAGTTTATGCTTTAGGCCCCAAAGAAGATATGGTTTCCGCCCTAGAATTAGAATAGGTGGTTTCCAAATACAAGGGTAGGGGCATAGATGTCCCTCTGGCAATGGCTCATACTCAAGAGTATTTACTTTTGAGCCAGTTGAAATAACACACACACCTGTAATCCCAGGACTTAGTGGCAGAAACGGAAGGATTGAGAGTTCAAGGTCAACCTGAGTTACATACCAAGTTCCAGGCCGGCCTGAACTACACAGCAAGATTCTGTCAGAATGTGAGTTTTCGTTCACTGACATTGCCTCTCAAAATTTTAATGACTATTAATAGCAGTCTGTCAAGGATTTCCATGGCACAATAAAGGTGAGACCACTAAGACCTCTTGAGAATAAAAATTTGAGTCACGGCCGGGCGTTGTGGTGCATGCCTTTAATCCCAGCACTCGGGAGGCGGAGGCAGGCGGTTATCTGTGAGTTCAAGACCAGCCTGGTCTACATAGTGAGTTCCAGGACAGCTGGGGCTACAGGGAGACCCTGTCTCAAAAAAGAGAAAAAACAAAAATAGTAATAATAATTCAGCAACATTAAAAAAAAAAATTTTAGTCACTACACCAGATAAAGAGCCCTATTAGGTAAGATACTTGAGCTAAGAGTCACTCGTACTCCTATTCAGAAATCATGCGATTCCCCGCCTCACAATGAGTTCCCCATCCATTTGGCCAAGGACCTGCCACCCTCAACTTAGCACCAGAGACTGAGATCTGGGGCTCCCCATGATATAATGCCAGCCATGCTGTGACAACCAGACTGAGATCTACCTATCTGTAGCTTTCATGTGAACAGGAGAAGTAGAAAGTTTGCACGTTGAGGCCCGTCCTGCTGCCCCTCACTGGCCTTGACACATTGTGTAGTGTTTCGTAGCCGGTTTCCCATTTCGAGAGGTGGTCAGTGATAGCGACCGTATGATTTTTTTACAATGTAATGTAAACACTTAACGTGCTCTCTAGAGCAGGATATGAAGAAAGAAAATTCCTCCTGCCTCTCTATGTGCTATTTTTCCCTATATCAGGATTTTCACATTGAAAAAACTAATTTCCTTATCACATGGCCCTTTAAATTATTTCAACGTTAATTATATATATATATTTATAGAGTACAAAATGATGTTTTAATATAAGTATAAAAATTGACTGATTAAATCAAGCTAATTAACATAGCCTTCCACTTATCATTTTTGTGGTGAGAACATTTGGAATACGTTCTTTAGCACTTTTGAAACACACATTACGTTATTAACTGAAGTCACCGTGCTATGAGGATCTCAACAAACGACTCCTCCCTTGTAGCCGAAGTTCTGAGCTCTGTGATCAGCATCTTCCCTTCTCCTCACCCGCCACCTGCACTAACCACTCTTCTCTCTGCGTCTACAAGTCCAGTTGTTTCATGTTTCAAATGCTAGTGAGGTTGTCCAGCACTATCCACCTGTGCCTGGCTTATTTAGCTTAGCATGATGTCCTCCAGGTTCATCCACGTTGTTACCGATGGTGGATTTTCATCTTTTTAGTGCCAGGATAGTGCTATACTGTGTACATGCCCCACATTTTCTCCATTCATTCTTGGACACAAGGTGACATTCGCTCTTGTGAACGGTGGCACAGTGACCATGAGCGTGCAGGTGCTCTCCACAAGATCACTGCAGAGTCTTTGGATATATACCCAGAAGTCGGATAACTAGATCACCTAACAGTTAGTTTTGAAGGACCCTTTTTTCCATAATGACTAGAGGAATTCTACTTCCTGCCAACAGTTTACAAGTGTTTTTCCATGCCTTCTCATGACTGTCTGGATACCAGACAGAGAATAGTTAATTGGTAGTTATCAGTAACATGATCAATATCCTTTTCCCCAACACTAGGCAATAACAGCCAGGTTTTCATTTTTCTTTTTTTGCTTTTTGATAATTCATACACAAGTACTGTGTTTACAACATTTTCAATCCTTCTTCTTCCCCTCCCACTTAGGGGCGTCCACCTTGTGGTCTGTGGCCCCAGCCCAGAATAGCTATGAATACAGCCCAATACAGAATTCTGCACTTAAAAGATTATGATATGTGTGTGTGTGTGCGTGTGTGTGTGTGTGTGGTCTTTGATTGTTGTGACAGCATTACGCAGTTCTTGAGCATGGACTTTGTAGGTGACAACACCGTGTCCCAGTGTCTTGCAGAATGAGTGTGTTTTGATCTCTCTTTGTGCACATGCATGGGTTCATGGCATTGAGGAAACAGGAGTGTCCCAGAGTGCATTGGCCAGCCAGTCTCAGTGATCCCCAGATGCCAGTGAGGACCTTATCTCAAAAAAAAAAAAAAAACCATTCTATTATAGTGCAGTAATTTTTTACATATATATCTTGTAACATCATGTTGTATACTTTAAACATACACAATAAAATTTGTAGTTAAAAACATATGGTGGGGACTTGCTGAAGAATGACACCTGAGGTTGACTTCTTGCTTCCACATGCAGGCACAAAATGTACACACACACCAAACACATACAAACAAGCATCCACACATATAACAAAATTTTTTTTTGAGTTTTCATGTCTTCAAGTATGGGAAGATAGTTTTGTCAGTAAAATGTTTGCTATTCATGCATGAGAACCTGAGTTCCATCCCCAGATCCCATGTAAAAAAAAAAACTGGGCATGATGACACACATAATCCCAGCACTGAAAAGATAAAGACACAGATCCCTGAGGATCACTGACCAGCCAGCTTAGCCTACACAGGGAGTTTTAGGGAAAGTGACACTCTGCCTCAAAAAGCAAGGTGGTGACACCCAAGGTTGAATTCTGCCTCCACATGCACACCCATGCCCACATGTGTACACACACACCACACACACACACACACACACACTACTAAAAGTTTTAGCAGTCTGGCTTGCTTTCTTCTGTTATATTGTATTAGTAATTTAGTGGCCTGACTGTCCTTGGGGGAAGCTTTTTCATCCCTGAGTCCCAAATTTTGAGTAAAACTAGCCTCAAATATTCCTAAAGAAATAGGTTGACCCAGGATTTACTCGATCAGAGGATTCCATTCCTAGGGCCTGCAGCTATCTGTTGGCTGCTGTCAATAAATGTGAAATGTAAGACTCACATTGAGAACATTAAAAATACCTAGGTTTAGGGGGCTCATGCCTTAAATTCCAGTATTTGGGAGGCAGAGGCAGGCAGATCTCTTTGAGTTCAAAGGAGCCTGGTCTACATACCGAGTTCCAGGGCAGTTAAGGCTGTATAGGGAGATCAGTCTCAAACAAACAAACAAACAAAAAAAGAAAACAAGAAAATATAGAGGGCTTTAGAACATGGAGCACTTGTAACCGAATAAAGAGGTTTAAAATCCTCTTGGAAGGAAGCTACAGTGATAAGTAGGTTTCCAGGTGTGTTTGGTAGGTGAGGATATGTCTACTACTTCCTTGTCCATAGCTCTACCAAATCCCTCCGCAAATGGACTGTGGTCACCTGTATTCCTGCTGCCCCACCAGATGGTCAACTCTTAAGGGAAGAAGTTACATCTACAACATGCTGGATCCTGGCGCAGAAGATGGAGTTAAATGCATGTCTGCAACAGGAACTGTGCTGATGGCTCAACAGAGTGTCCCTGAAGACACTGTGGTTCTACCACTGACACCACGGGTTTCTGACACTCTGACACCTCTACTGGCCCATGCCAGACCCTGCAAACCCCACTCTGCACCCCAGTGTTCCTGCTGTGGGCTGTGACAGGTGGTTATCTGGGAATCATCAGCTGTGGGTTCCCTGTGGTCACTGCATGATTCTCACACAACCACTCAGAAAATGTGAGGCAGAGGCAGTGGGGGGGTCGAGAGCTTCCATAGGAAGCCTACTGTCATGAAGTGTATAAAAGCAGGAAGCAGAGGGTCGCTGCCCAAGCCCACCTCCTTCCTCTCCTGGAGGTTAAAAGGCAGCAGGGACAGAGCTCCAGAAACTCAGACCTGGTCACCCTCCCAGAGAAGATGCAGCAACTCCTGATCCTGTTGGCTTTCTTTCTACCCGCCAGGATGAGGGCAGGTAAGTGGACATCAATTTGTTAGTGGCCCAGTGTTATTCTACAGCAGGCGCAGACACCCCATCTCTTCTGCACATAGTCTCTGAACGTAAGCTCCAGTCTTCCCACGGAAACCAGGTATGACAAGATATGTTATTGGTGGGAGCAGGAGGGTGGCAGGCTTTGAGAAGAGAACCTGGGTGCTTTTCCCTGCCTAGTGCCACCCTTGTCATCTCTAAAACAGAGCTTTCTGACAAGAACATGGTAAAGGATGGGAATCTGCAAAGCAGAAAACATTAGATTCTCCTGGAGCAGGCAGGGTGGGCGTGGCCTCTGTCTGTGATGAGTCAGGTATTCGGTATCCGTGGTATACCTGAGTGGAGCTCAGTGACCTCAGAATTGATGGGATCACTGTCCTCAGAGCTGAATCCCACACCACTCGGTCCCTCTCTGCAACTCTGTGTTCCCCAGGCCTCAGTGGTTCCCTGGTTTCAAGCAGGAGCCCCTGTGCCAGGGCCTGACTTCTCTGCTTTCTGGAATCCCAGAAACCTCCCTAGTCAGGAGGGTGTTCATCATGAAGCCAGTGAATTTACTGAGCACCCACT